AGAAGTTTTCATAAAGTTTAATATATTAACTATATCATTTTTCTGTAGTTCAGCATTTTGAAAGGTTTGGTCCAGATGATTGTCAGAAAGAGTTGTATAACATTTTTTTTTATTATACAAACTATATTTTGTTTATTAAGTAAAAAGTTTTTTATATTATTTTATATATAAGATAATTTTTTTTTAAAATTTAAAAAAAATTTTATTAATAAAATTTATTTTTTTTATTTTTTATTTTTACTTTAAGCAGCCATATTAATACTTTATTAAAATTTTTAAATCTATACAAATTTTATAAAATTTTTTTAATATTTAAGTTTAGCATCATCTGATTATCTTATTAGTATCTAAGTTTAACCTGTTGTACTATTCTAAACAGAAGTAAACTGCTTATCTAACTACTACCTTACAATAAAATACTACTAATCTGATAACATTTTCTTATAGAAAGGCAAATAAATAAAAAATGATTTTATATATAAAAAATATAAAGGTATATGAGTAAATGATAAAAGATACAATACAAAAAATAAAGAAGAAAATAAATAAAAAAAAAAAAAAGTGTAAAACTTGCAATTTACAAAAAATCAGATAGTTATAATTTTAAGTCTATATTAAGTATAAAATTTGTAATTTACAAATATCAAATAATTACAATTATAAGCCTGTATCAGACTTTTTTAAAAATTATAAATTATACTAAATAAAAATTATTCTACTATTTTTCTATTTACTTGGATTATTTAATAAAAAAACTGTAGACTAAAAAACTTCAACCTAATTATAAAGAGTTAGTGTAAAGTATTAGTTAGTTCAGAGACAGTGTTTAACAGATTTTTAGTAACTTAAGACATATGTATAGTCATGTTTGTATTACTGTATTATTTCTAATTTATATTATTAATAATCTTATTTAAAAAGTAAATATTGTTAACAGTTTTGATAATTTTAAAGGTGCTAAATAAATTAACTTTATAGTTTTGTAAGTTCTTGACTCTTGTAAATATTTCTTATAGATTTTATAATTAAGTAGAACTAATATATTTAACTTTGTTGTTTACTTAATAAAAAACTTTGGCTTTTACTAACTATTTTTTCTATAGTACCAAAGTGTATTTAAACTGTTATCACAAAACTACAATTTCTTTTTTAACTTTATTTTTATATTTAACTATGTATATATAATACTTTAAGAAAGTTTTTATAAAGTTTAATATATTAACTATATTATTTTTCTGTAGTTTAGCTTTTTAAAAATTTTGGTTCAGATAATTTTTTTTTTAGTTCAAGAATAATCTTGCCTATATGTTTTTTTATTATTAATAATATATAATTATATGTTTATATATAATATACATTAACAAAAGTACAACTAGTCATATGTATAACTTTAGTCATTATCTAATTAAGAGTTCTGCTTATAGGTTACCTACTAAATGCTATATCTGAGATTTGCCTGTGAGTTTCTTATTTAAACTTTTTGATTTTCAATACTTATTGCATATATTTAAAATATAGTACATTACTATTATTAAGACAGAACAGGTTAGGGCTATCTAATTACTATTTATATCTAAGCACTATCTTATTAGATATTATTAAGTATTCATAGTCCTTTCAAATTTACTTTCAACACAAACTTACTAAGTATGATATCAAGATTATCTCTTAGATTTATCTAATTTTAGTAGATCTCATATTTACTAAAACTGGTTTGGTGCCAGAAGTGTTCAAATTTTAGTAATTTTATTTCTTTTCTATAGTTTTCTTTTATATTTATTATTTACTTATTAGTGTGCTTTTTCTTTATTTCTAGTATATTTATCACTTCTTTTACATTAAGCACCAACTCGCTATATTAAAAAACTTTTTTCTAGAAACTTTCTGAAAGGCATCATTAAATACTCGAAATGTCCATACCTTGTTCGAAAAGCTGTCTTCTATTCATCATCTGGTTTTATTCATATCAGGTTATAGGCCTCCCTTAAGTCTATTTTAGTAAAGACTTTGGCAGTAGTAAGTCTATTTAACAATTCTGGTATTAGGAGAAGTGGGTATCGATTTTTAACTGTAATTCAGTTCAGGCCTTGATAGTTGACATACATATGCAGGGTACCATCCTTTTTTTTGACAAAGAGTACTGGTGCTCCTGCTGGTGATTTTGAGTGGCAGATGAATCCTTTTTCTAAATTTTCCTTAATATATCCTCTAAGGTTTCAAGTTCTTGTGTAGATAATTCGTAAATGGGACCCCAAGAAGGCTGCATATCAGGTAATAGGTCGATTGCACAGTTATATTGATAGTTTTTGGGTAATTTATAGGCTTTTTTTTCACTAAAAATGTCACTAAATTCTTGGTACTTTTCTGAAACCATTGAAGATGACCCTTTGTTAGTATGGTAGAGGTCAACTGCCCCAGTAAGAAAAACTTGAACTATGAAAATTTGCTCTTTATTAGCAGAGCTAGTTCCTGCAGACAGAAGAAGATGAGTGCTGCAGGTTGGGTTCAAAAAAGTGATGATTTGCTCATATCACTTAATTTCGGGGTTATGTAGAATTAACTAGGGTAGCCCCAATATTACTTTGTAATGAAAAAAAGGGATAAGGTTAAAAATTATTTCCTCATAATGATCTTGCAAATGTACAGGAATAGGCTCAGTTTCCTGTGTTATAGACCCTGATGAAAGCTCTCAACTGTTAACTATCTCAACTGACAATGGCATCTCCTTTTCGTAAATAGGTAAGTTGAGTTCTCGAGCTAAAGCTAGGTCTAAGAAACATGCTAATGCTCCAGAGTCGATTAAAGCTTCCATACTTGTTTGAGTTTTATTTGGCAAGTGTATGTATAACTCTGGAGTGAATGCTGATACAGGGTGGTTATTGGGTAGTAGATATATGGGGTTTGGACTAACAGTATAATCCAGCCACAGCCCCTTACTGTGACTGGGACCATTCTTTTCCTAACAGTTCTTCTAAGGAGACAATAGTATCAATTCTTGGTAATACATTAGATTTTTTAGAACAGTTTTTAACAATGTGACCTGGGTCATCACAATAAAAACAGAGATTATTTGCATAGCGTCATCTTTTCTCTGCTGCTGAGAGTGGCTTAATCCTTATAGTATCGATTTGCATTGGGTCTGCTTCGAAAGGTGCTAGTTTGGTAATAGGCTAAGAATGGTGTTGTCTTGCTAGAAGGTCCTATGAATGTTCTTGCCTGTGCTCATATAGTTAGTTGTTGCACTTGACAGCTTTCGAAACCATGTTATTTAGTGAAGTTGGGTCTTTTACTGAAAGAAGCAAGTCCTTAACATCACTGCGAAGCCCACTTCGAAATTGGTCTATCAGTGCTGCTTCACCCCAGTTCAAATTGCCTGCAATTTGCCGAAACTCTGAAGTATAACTTGAGGCTGGTCTTGTTCTTTGAACAAGCTTTTGAATTCTATTAGCTGCAGTTCTGGACTTTTCTAAGTTATCAAACATGGCTTTAAATTCTCTAACCAGGTCTTCAAAAGTTTCGAGTAATGGTGATTGTTTCTTCAGAAGCAGTGTGAACTAGGCAAGGGCTGGACCTGTTAATAAGCTCCCTAGCAGACCTACTTGCAATTGATCATTAGGGTAATGGTTGGGTTGCATTCGTATGATGAGGTGTACTTGGTTTAGGAACCCTCTAAAATTCACTCAGGACCCATCAAATTTGTCTGGAAGGCTAACTTTGGGTTCTTTGTGTTGGTTATCGATTCCTACCTGGGCTCGAAGATAGTTTAAAGTATTCCTGAGATCCACATTATCCTGTTGAAGAGCTTGATTGTTGAGTTAGAGCTGAGTTACCGCAGCTAGTATATTACAAAGATTGGGTTGGTCTGCCATCTTGTTGTTATTTATACATTGTTATTCATTTTCTATTTTTTTTTTTTTTTTTTTTTTTTGTTATTTACTATCTAAAAAGAACTAACAGTGAAAGAATCAAATATTTTATGATTTTGTAGAAGCCTACTACACGAGCAGACTATTGTTATTTGGTTAGTATTGCTTCAAGAGAAGGAATAATCTGTTCAAACTGTAATGATTAGGTCAAGACTAACAGGTTCATTTGTTGTTTAATATGAGATCGAAGAAATCTTTATTGAACAGACTGATTTTTTACAAGAATTGTAAGTATCGCTTTTATACCCTTTGTGCTTTCACTTTTGATTATTATGATTACTAATCTAAACTACAAATTACTACAAATTATTACATAATTACCTCATAATTCATACATTGTTAACTGACTACAAATTGCCCTATGACTAACTATTGCTATCACTATAAATTAATTAACTAATGATAGCATAATTAATGCATCAGAAAATTACTTGGATCAGGATCGGTTAATTGGATTATGGCACCTGATGCAGGCCTGGATCACAGTCTTTGATCGTGAGTGGCTTGGGTTGCGTTTTTGATCGTAGGTGGCTTGGGTCACCATCTTAACTGTTACATAAATTGTCAGTTAATAACTAAAAAAGATATGTACTTATCTCTGAAATAAAGTTTTATCTATACTATAAAAGTAAGTACTTAAGGGGCAGATTAGATGCACAATCTGTTAGAAATAATGCTAAGACCAAGAAGGGTTGCAAACTAGTAACAGTAGCAGAAACCTGGCTTGAGATATGTGTTACTAGTATTTGAATTAGGAAGTTAGCAGTAGTAGCAGGAACCTGGCTTAAGATATGTGCTAAAGAGGCACCCTTCAGGCAAACTAAAGATAGTAGCTCAAAAGGAGCAAATAACCTAGTAGACCAATTTGGAAGTTGTTAAAAATAGGTTGTAAGACATGAGAGGAATATGTAGATTACTTAATATAATTAGTAATGAAACAAAAATTCAGGTTAGATGTAAGTAGGACATAATACAAAACTCTAGTAGGTTTAGGTCGCAGATAAATATGTCTGAGTCTTATGTCTAAGTCTTATGTCTAAATAGATATATAGTGATAAATAATGTATAATAGATTTGTACTAGCTATAAAAAATATACTAATAAAGACTAAAGGGCATAACCTCATCTTAATATCAAAAAAAAAAACATATTTTGATTTAGCTAATTAGATTATTATTTTTTTTTTTATATAATATTAGAGTAGAAAATTTGTAAATACATAAAAAAAAATTTCTATATTAAAGATTTCTAACTGCATTTGTGCTACTTAATTAAAAATATTTTTTTATAACACCCAATATGACATTACATCTCTTATTTTCTAATGAATGCTATAGTTAATTAATTTATTAATTGCTAGCTAGAATAAGTTAAAAAGGACTTAAAGTATTTGTTTTATTATTATATAAAGTAAGAAGTTAATAAGTAATCTTAAAGAAGCCATTTTTTAATAGCAAAGAAATTGTTACTAGTCAGAATTGTAATTGAATTTGTATTAGATAGTAGAGTTTTAGTAAATATAAAGAGTCTAGTGCATTTGCTTTTAGAGATGATATTTCAGACAGTTTTCTATTAGTGTTATATAATGTTTTGAGAGAACCAGATTTTATTAAAGAACCAAAATAGAAGATTATTAGATAAGTTTACAAAAAGAGGCATAGTTTGCTTATTTATAAGTATTTTAATATTGTCAAATATTATATTAGATATAGTATCAACAAATAGATTTAGAATATAATATTTTGTAAATTAGTTGTATTAAGTATAAAATAAAATAATATATTTAGAAAGATAAATGATAAAATAAATGAAATATTAAGTGTTGTTAGAGTATTGTCAATTGTGTTAAGAAGTGTTTGTTGTATGTCTATATTGTTTTTAATATATAAAAGTATATATAAAGTATTTTCTATATTAGAGCATTGACAACAAGTTGAAGTAGTATATAGGTATAGATAACATATATTTAAATTTTGCATAATAAATAAGTTGTTTGTTAAAATTTTAATTTGAAAAGAGTAAAGTTATAAGTTATGTTCTAGAGAGTTAAGTATTTTAAATATTAGAAACTATTTAATATTAAATATGTTATTGAAGAATTTAAGTGATAACTATGTGCTAAGTTCATTGATTGTAATAATATTTTTGACAAATGTATGAATTTTGAGAGAAATAAGATAATTGTTTTATAAGAAGTAAGTAGGCAGGTTAAAAAAGAAGAGTTGAATTTTTAGCATAGGTTTGTTAGTGTCTTGTTTTGCTAGTAAGTCAGCTTGATTGTAAAATAAATTTGTAAAATGAGATTTTACTTTAATAAGATTAAGATTAATATTTTTAGTTATTATTAAAGAGTTAAATTATAGTTAGAATGTTCTAGTTTTTTGTTGAATTAATTTGATTAAGGTAAATAAATTACAATTTTTAATAGCTATATAGTTGTTGATATAAATATTAAGTAAAATATTGAAGAATACAGTAAGTAGAATAAATATGATTGATATTAGTTCTATTCAGATAAAATTAGGTAAAAGTTGAGTTGCTATATTGAATTTGACTAAGGTATTTTCTTTATAGATCCATTCAATATCAGACCTTATAGAATATATTTGTAGGTTTTAAATAGAAGCATTTGTATAGAAGTTTTGTTCAGTTAGATGTAGATTTTGTAAAAAAGAATTAAAGTTGATAAGTTAATTTTGGTAAATAGTAAAATCAGTAGTTTGTTGTATAAGTTAAATATTATGAGTATATAAGTTTATTTAAGGAAGTAGTTGATTAGAAGGTAGTATAGCAAGGTTGGTAGATATGTGTATTAATACAAAAATTTCTTTATAGTCAATTTGTAAAACAAAAGAGTTATTATAGGTTTTAATTTGATAATAAGAAAGATTAAAACAGTTAAAGTTTGTTAGTAAAGATGAAATAATTAGTTTTAGATAGATTTGGTTTGTAGACTAGTTGTCTAATGTATAGTAAAAAGGATATTAAATATTATTATATTGTGAAAAGATAATATTAGAATTGTTTGTATAATATAATTAAAAGAAGAAAAAGTGTTAAAGGTTGAATAATATATAAAAGAAGTTTAAAAAATTTAAGAAGAAGTTAATAGTTGGTAGGTTTAGATAAGGCCAGGTAACAGGAATTGTATTATTATATAAGATTTGTTGAATTTGAATAAACCAAAAGAGTTAACAACCTTTTATTAGTTTGTTTGTTTATAGATATATGTTGCTTTAAAAGAGAAAGTAAAGATTATTAGCAGTAGTAATTTGTTTAATATAAAGAATTTTATTGTTTTTAAGACTATTCAGCATTGAAATAGATGGGTTTGAAAGAAATATATTATATATTAGATAAGGATTAGTTGGTTGTATTGTAGTATTATTAAAGATTTATGTAATATTAGAGAATATTATATTGTTTTTTGCAAGTTATAAAAGATGAAATATTAAAATATAGTTATGTGTTTTATGATAATATTTAATAAGTATATTAGTTGATAATTTAGGATGCCATATTTTGGTCAACTATGATTTAATGTGAGCAGTTTTGATGTTGTGAAGAAGTGTATTAGAGTTAAAAATATATTTAATATTAAATATACTAACTTTTTAAATAATGTTGTTTCATAAATACATTAGAAGAACATGATGACAGTCTAATGACAACATATGTCAAAAGAGCATATTGGGCTATTAACAGTATACATAATAAGATATTTCTGAAACAAGTAGATAAGATATATGTTGCACCTGATAGAGAGGTCAGAATCATTGTTATGCTAACAGAACAGAATCCAAACAAGGTTGCACTATTGAGATTAACAAGAGAGCTAATAGAAAAAGCAAAAAAAGAGTAGCCAAAAAGAAAGTTGAGCATAGTAGAACAAAATAACTATGCAATAATAATAGAACCTGCCTTAGAACAAACAAATAACACACCAAAGAAGCAACTTTAACCAACAAAAATAGAATTAACTCAAGAAATTAAACAAGAGCCACTAGTAGAAATAGACATAGAAGAAGGCAGATAATGCAAAGAAAAAACACAAAATATTAGCTTAAAAGTTCAACAAAAAATCACAGAGAAAATAGAGAAACATAAGCAAAAGAGTGCAGATGCAATTTAGAAAGAGTCAGAACATAATATAACAACAGAAAAAACAAAAGCACAGCTTGAAATGAATTAAGAAATTAAAAAAGAAATCGACATAGTAGGAGAACCACTTGAGAAGAGCATGTAGGTACCAAGCAAAAGAAATTGCAACCAACATAACAGTCTACTTGCCAACATACCAGTACACAATATGCTAGGAACAACAAAAGAAAAATGTATAAAATTCATCAAGTGGTTACTAAAAAATAATAAATATGTTAAAGTTATTAAAGAAGTCTTCAAAAGAGAAAACCTGTAGATAGAGGTGGACTTCAATTGTAAGCATGATAAAAATGAAGCAATTCAAATAATTAGCAGAAAAGAAGGTAATTGGTATAAACTAATACCAGAAGAATGGGAAGACAAGAAAGAAAAACAGAGACTACACAATGAAGAATACTAAAAAAAAAGAAATAGCATAGTAAAAAATAAAAAAAAGATATACAACAAGAAAGAAAACAAGATCAAAAAGAATGTAAATGACTATAAAACAGATGAAGAGTCTAATGACAAAGCATGCATAATGATATGAAACTTGCCAACAGATATCA